GGTTGATTGTTAGGTGTACAGGTTATTTTTTCAACACTTCAAGCAACTATTTGCTCGAGGATTGAACAATTCACTCGAACAATTTCACTCGTGTAAATAGTTTCACTCGATCTCAACTAAAAGTATCGTTGAGCTATATATGAGGTCGAAATAGAGGTTTATTAATGAGGTTATTTTTTGGATCAAAACATAACCTCATTTTCTACTTCATGCTTGTTTTTACATCTGTCAACCTCAAAAAATACATTGGATATGCTTTTTGTGTTTATTGCAGGTATGTATTACACATCATCTTCACTTGAGTCTTTGTCCTGTACTCATCTGTTTGATCCCTTTGGGAGGCTAGATACAAATTAGATTCTACGGAATATACTGCAGGCTGACTTTGTTGTATTCATTCACTATTGTTTTGTTATTGCCTTTTCCCTTGCAATGCCAACAGTTATCTTTGAAATAAGCCATTAAAAATACAAAAAACATTACAAATAAAAATTTCGTGGAAATAAGTCTTCAGACTATTCTAATAATTTAGATATTTGTTTTTAAACATTGTTTCACCTCTCATGATTTATATATACAGTGCNCGTCATATGTTTTACACATATTTTACGAACCGCAATAATGTCACCGTAATCAAATCCTCCCATATAATCTTATAAAGTTTTTACAGAGCAGCAGAATGAGAAATTGTATTTCCCTCATTTACTATATCTTCTGCATCAGCTACTATCATCACTATTTGATTTAACAACATAACGATGTCTTCATTTGTCAAATGCTGGAAGTCAGGCTCATCACTTTGAAACCAATCTTCGAAATTTTCTTCAGCAAGAATTTCGAAACCTTAGATTTTTTTGCTTGTTCGAGAATACTGTTATCATATTTTTCTTGAACATCTGAAGAAGATTGTTCATCAAGCGATATGATCTTTCTCCAAGATCGTGATAATGTTGACGATTTTACCTTTGACCATGCTGCTGATATTCCATATACTGCAATCCAATAACGATTGCTTCCAAAAATTTGGTAGTGTTATAACTTCACGAATCAAATTTTTTTAATCCTGAAAATATTTCTCTCTATATTTTTCGTGTGACCCAAGAATGAGCACGGATAATCCGCAAACCGGATAATCCGAGCACGGATAATTGAGAGTGTACTGTATATGTATATATTCGTTTGTTTTTTCCCCGAGTATCAAATAATCAATACACGATCAACTTTTCTATTTTGTCTTAAAAATTTTAATATTTTCTAACTTTATGTTTTTATTGCTACTTCCTAAAAAGTAATTCTTATACGAACTGGCATTGTTTTGAAGGTGGAAAATCTCAAAAATGATATAAAATTTAGATTTACAGAACACAATGCCAATTTTATATACTACATGATGGCTTCTAGCTTTTGATAAGAATGATAGTGTAATTTAGAAGAAACCACAAAATAATAAAGAAGTAAGGGTGGAAAAAGGAAATTTCCTCGTTTTCCTTCTAACGGAAATTTTTGCAAAATAGGAAAAGTGAAACATCTTTTATTCTCCAGCTCACATTTCAAGAGGAGTTTCTTATTTTCAAGGATTCTCTGGCAATTTTCCAGAATTTTCCTCCCCAACTTTAGAAACGTTACTAAAGCAATAAAAAAAGATATGATCAGTTTTACGACTTATAAGTAATTCGATTTATTTCTACTTGCTTAAAATGGTCCGTTTTCATGACCCCAAATATGCATCGTCATTAAATATTATTTCGACTTGAGGCTGTAGCATTTAAATGTGCCATAAAAGTGTCAAATAATCTGTTGACGAAAACTGAAATTAATGTAACCCATTTTCTATACATTATAAACATTCTATCACTTGCAATCAATGTATTATAACCAGTGTCAAATATGCATAGTATATACACAATCGCGGAAAAGCTGTTACAGGGTTACCACAGAAAAAAATTAACAAAATAGTTACTTTTAGCAGCCTAAAGCAGGAAAATAGTTGCCGAAAACTATGAAAATAGTTACCTAAATAAGAACAAAAATATGTCATATGCCATGATCCATTTAGTCAAGCCGGTGGCAAATATGATAATTTTTACATAAACGTTTGTCTGCTAGCACTAAATTTCTATAACTTTTTCATAAAAAACACACTTTTTTTAAAAAATTTTCATTTTATGAATAATTGATTTAGCATATATATATATATATATATACTATATATGACGCCCGGTGGCTGAGCGGTGAATAGACTTACTATGAAATCTGTGCAAATTGAGAGCATTAAAAAGTGATGACTCAAATTTGCAATTCAAAATGTTCCATATTTTTTATTTTTTAAGAAAAGAATTCATTGTGTTCAGGGTTTTCAATTCAATTTATGATAGAAAAAATTCCCTAGAAGCACAGAAAAGTCTCCCAATAGTCACCTTTTCCTGTTAAATATATAAAAATAAAAATTTCCTGTTAAAAACAGTTGCATTTTAGTCGCCTGTGGCAACCCTGTGTTGTCATCAAATATTCTTCAGATTAAACGTAACGGAATAAACTGAAAAATGCGTTTCTCATAGCCATATATGTTAATTTTAATAATTCTTAAATATGATTTAATGCTCTATATAATGGTTCTTGTGATCTAGGCCAAAAATGCGAGGATGTTACTTCGTTAGAGCACAAAAATACCTTAAATATTAGCTAAAACAATACTTGAATCGAAACATGGTCATACTAAACGTTAATTAGAATTTGTTAACTAACGGAAAAGTTAATAATAATGTAACTTTTTTTTAATAATTCCATAATTCATGAAAATAACATTGCGTCTATGGAATAATAAGTAAACATAATGCTAACATAATTTATGATGGAAGGGTCGTGCTAAAGAGTATAAGCTGTATTTAGCAACCAACTTCCGAAAGCAGGTGAATTGATAGGAAAATATAATTTGTGAATGAAAACCCTTTAACTCCAAACAACAATGTAGTAATTTTGAGTCTCTTGAGTTGTAGTCTCTTTTTAATGCTGAGAATACTTTTCAATTTGTCTAAAATCTCCACCAAAAAATATATATTTATCTTCAAATGCACGGTTGCAGTATTAAAAGTAGGGAGAAAAAATAAAAGTAGAATATTTAAGCAACTTCAGAAATCATAGATGCTTTATACCAGAATATAAGGTCAACATTTATTAAAATCTTGTTGGATATTTTATCTAAATGAAGTGTAGGTTCGATCTCTCCGTCCGTGCTCTGTGTGTTCACTTAACTACAGGGATGAGAGTAGTCAGAAAGTATAAAAGAGGAAATCCAAGAATATATATATATAAACAAAAATTTGACAAAAAAAGTGCGATTTTTAAACNTTGTTAACAGTATCGCAGTAATTCTAGTCCAAGCCACACATATAGTTTGTCTACGGTAAGAACTCCTCCCTTCACTAAGTCTGAGGCGGTTTCAAAAACATTTTTAAGTCTGGTAATGAGATTATAAAAATTTATCTTTAAAACTTGTAACAACATCTTTAGCAATCGAGAAGTATTTATAGGATGAGAAGCCACCATTAGACAAAGAGAAAAAATTTGGTAAATTAAGGCAGACCTTGTCTAATAAAGTTTTATCCTCACTGCAAAGGCGCTGCTCAATGTTCCCAAATGGTGCTGCGAGGAACCTTAGGGTTCCGAAAGTTGAGACTTCTTTTAATGTGTTATGATTTTCGAAACCTTTAATAAAATTTTTATCAAACAAATTGTCCAATATTTTCGTTATTTTTATGAAATTATGTAAATAAAATGCTTGCGAAGAAAAACAGAATTTTAAAAAAAATTCTAATTACAATATAAAAAAATTAATTAAGAAAAGGGTATACAATTATTAAAAAATGCATTAGTATTATCACATCAAAAAAATAACCAACTTCAACAATGTAGAAGTGTTTCAATGTTCGTTTACTCAATGCTCATCAATTATTTTCATGATTTTTCGTTTTTTCATCAACGAAAACTATATTTTAGCCTATTAATTTTCAGTTTATGCATAGATTAAAATCAAATTAAGAGTTAAACTAGATGTCATTCCAAAGCTGTAAATTCAACTATCTGATGTAAAACCCTTTTTATTAAAACGGTAAGAGGAAAACAGTTTTCTTCATTCACTCCTTAATAATTAACGCAACTTCAATCATTAAATATTCTCAAAATAATTAATAGTCTTTCGTTGGTCAATATGTTCACAATTGCCAATGCAATTTCTCCAGGTCTCATAATTCCGATAAAGAAGGTTGATCATTCCATAACGAAAAAAAAGGGGGCATTAATTATAAAGTAATCCAGTAATATCACCTTATTATGCAAACATTTTATAAAAAAAAAAAAAAAAAAACATTGAATTAAATTTTATGAAACGGCATGTAACTTAATCATTTTGAACTTATTATCTTACAACAAAAGCGTTATATTTACTTTTTATAAAATTATTTCTGGTCAAACCTGTTATAAGGAATTATCTTTATACTATATTAAACAATGTGGCGAAAAACATTACCTAATTTCAAAGTAAACAAAAGTTAAATAAAATTCATAAAACAAAACAATATATTAAATTGCAACGTTAACTGATTAAAATGATTTAATAATAAAGTTTAAGTTTAAACGTTATTCTACTAAACTATATTTAAAAAAAAACAATTTGGGATCTTTTAATGGAGTAAATTCAATTTTTCATGTAACAATTTAACTGTCCTTAAGACATAAAAATAATAGTATAACAATCTAAACCTCCCAAAGAATTGTTACATTGCAACAAAACAAGTTATAAATAATTACCAAATATTTAACTTTTTTGTTAGAAGTAAATGTTGCTTTTTATTACATTGCTTCACATTGAAATAAGCTGCCCAAAACAATTAAAGAAATTGAGTTTGTCGGTTGATCGTGCACCCGGAAAATTGTTTGAATGATTGATACATTATCGACAGACATAGTAGGCTATATGAGATAATAATGACATTTGCTTGGCAGAAAAATAAATACGTTTTATTGAGCTTTTGGGTACAAAAAGAAACAAACACAATTTGAGCACATGAGAAAACAAATAAAAAAAGGTGTTTCCTTAAGAGAAAATCATTTTATGGTTTCCTCAGACGGACAGCAACATTGAACATCTTTGAGGCATTGAGTCAATGAGGTTATTAATAAGGTGTGCTGGGGTATTCTGTCCCACTCCTCCAGAAGAGCTCTTTCTAGTTCTTGGAGAGTTTGCGGTGTAGGTAAGCGTGTAGCAATTAGTCTACCTAGAATGTCTTAAACATGCTCGATAGGGTTAATGTCCGGAGAACACACTGGCCAAATCCATTCATATAATTTCTTCCTCAAAAATGAAATCATTCACCAAGTTAGCACAATGTGGCCTGCATTTGTCATCCATTAACATGAAGTCTTCTCCATTTGTTGCAGTATTGTTGTTGAGAACAATCCTAACAAAGTAAATATTTATAATAGTAATCAGAATTAAACCTATAAACACAGATAATCTCACTAGTGAATAACTATTATTTAAACAGTGAATACATTTTTTTAGAAATGAAATATGGATAAAAAGGCAGTACTTTTAAGGGATCAATGCTTATTTGTACAAAAAGAGCAAGCAAGGCGAACCACCCTACAAAAAACGCTTAGAGAGAACACTGATACTTTCTGAGTCTTTGAAACCTTTTGACCTTAAAACTTTAATAATAAAAAAACTTACAATTTTAATACATACAGTATTTTCTCGATATCATGAACTTCAACAGCTTGAAAACCTTGTTATGATGATTTTTTTTTTTTTACGAAACAGAAAATGAATCTTTTCAGAAAAATCCCAGTTTAAGTTTGTTCTAAACCACAATTCTTTCCTATTTAATGCATAATTATTTCTGTCTTACTTTTGAAAATAAAATTATCATTGCTGTATTTAGACTTATATTCAAATATCATTACATACAGATTTACTAGTAGTTATTCTTATGTTTCAAGACTCTACTTTTTGGAATAATATTTTAGACTTTTAGCTATACTTTAAGTTTTTCTACTTTTTAGAACACATTTAGTTCTGCACTTCTTATCACAAAAACTCGCTATCTCGAAATTCTTTTAGGGTCCCTTCACCTTTGAGATTTTGAGAGTATACTCTGTGTGTGTGTGTGTGTATATATATATATATATATATATATACAGTCAAACCCCTCTATAGTGAACCTTCAAGGGACCGAAGTTTCGGTTCACTATAACCGGAAGTTCACTATATCCGTTACGTAGACAATTTAACTAATCGTTCCCAAACTCCTCCCTTTTATTACACATAATTCAAATAAATGACTGGAAAATATTATGCAGTAGCAAAAAATGTGTTATTTTTCATTACTCTTCGTCTTGCGTACAAAAAAAAAATTAGTAACCTTTAACTGATGAGCAATCTTCAACATCAGGTATGGAAACACTTCCCAACCCTCAGATAATTTTTCCTGAATTTCTGTTATTCCGCTTTTTAAACCTGTTTAACCTGCCATTCGAGCACATAAAAGTAGTCTCATAAAATCGCTTAGCAAATTCATCGACATTTGTCCAGATACTGGAAGATTGCGGCTTCTTCGATTGGTATAATGCTTCAGTAATGCTTGTTCAACATCCTTGTGATCTGCTTTTCTCAACTTCCTTCCGCCATCTAAATTTTTTTCATGAGCAGAAATTATTAATTGCCTGTTTTTCCATATGTTACAAACTGCAGATTTGGATAGTTTATATTCCCTGCAAATATCAGCCTGATTGCATCCATTTTCAATTTTTCGGATTATGCCTATTTTATCATCAATGGAGAACGTTTTGCGTTTACTGTTAGTCATAGTTAAATTTGAGAAACTTGTTTGCAGGATTTTTTTAATTGAACTGACAGCAAAAAGGAGTTGAAATGAGGGGCCTTATCAACACAGATTAGCGTCCAACCCTTTGACCAATAATGAATAATTACTCATTCCCTCTGACAGAAAATGCATATTGATCCCACTGACACCTTAAAGGTGCATCATCTGCCAGAGTTGGAAACATCTGCTTGGTTTGTTTAGGGATGGAAAAGTGAGATAAAGGAAGCAAACAAGAAAAAATGCTTATCGCTACATTGCCCTCTATAGATGGTTTTGAAAATCGGTATATGTATTTAATTTGAAGTAGAAATTTCAAAATTATTTTTTAAAAAAATTTTTAAAAATCAATCGAAGACAGAAGAAAGTTCATTATATCCAACTTCCTCACTTTTTTGGTTCACTATATCCACAAAAAATAACATTATACGTGTATAGCAAGGCACGGGACCGAACATTTCGTTCACTATATCCGGGAGTTCACTATAAACCATGTTCACTATAGCGGGGTTTGACTGTATATATAAAGCTTTTATTTATAAAAATATTACTTAAAATTTTAACTTATAAAAATATTTCCTCACAAGAGGAGTTTATGGGAGATCGTAGAGTTCTATATAATTTCAGGGCTATAGATAAAATGTGTGAAGTTGCTGTGTTTTGTCATAATTTAGTATACAAGTAACCTTCTAGTTATTGCCGATAAAAATGTATGAAAGATACAAAGAATAATTTTTGAAAAGAAAAAAAATTTTGAAACTAAGAAAGAAGCCTTAAACATTTTAGAATATTAATTCCTACATTGGATTCTAAAAACGCAAGAATAAAATTCATATCGTATTTTAAAAATGAAAAAATAAAAATTGCAATGCTGAATCTGTAAATCGCATGAATACAAATTGGGTTGCATGATCTTTAGATACTGCGAATGCCGATCACGATATAAAATTTTAAAAAGGTGAAAGAGAAAAACGTGATGTTGGATTTTTAAATTGTGCGAAAAAGAATCAAGATAAGAGATTTTAAAATGCTAAGACAAAAATTGCACTGTTGGAGTTTTAAGTAACTCTAATACAAACCACTCTACTTGATATTATAGATAGCATTAAAATAAATATGTTTCATAATACTTAGGAAAAAAATGTTTTTCTTCATTTCAAAAGCAAAAAGCATAGTAAGAATTAAGAGTAATAATTTTTATACATTGTATGGCATTTGAAGATTTCATACAGTATTAAAAATTCAAATGAACATACCATGCGCTAAGCTACAAAAAGATGAGGGCATTTCATTTGATGAATATATACTATGCGTCTAGAAATTCCATTCTTTAACTTTAAAGCAAATTAGTGTTTATAAGTTAAAACTAATTGTGTAACATATTATTCTTCGCATTTTACAAAAAATCATTTCAGTAACTTCATTATCAATCAATTCATTGTATTTTTAGAAGGTAGAAAAATGAAATAGTTATGCTCAGTATTTTATTCTGATATTTACACATAAACATGTAAGTAGAACATATTTTATTTTATAACCACCGTTCAACAGTCGACCCAATTCTTGGGTTTACAACTACTAATGTTCAACACCATAGCCTTGAAAATTTGAACACAATCCAGAAAAGGGAACTCCCGGATCAAGTATTGGGAGACATTTGCCGTCGTGGAAAATTTTTTGATGGGACTAACCCACAATTGCATTACATGGAGAGGAGAGTCACGAAAACCTCTATGAATGGAGACTATTATTATCTTAGAGCCCTGATACATAAACATACATTGAAATAACAAAATTATATCTAAACTGTTTTATGCTCTACATAATAAAATATTAAGCCATAAAAAAGGAAATAACAGTGAATGAATAAGCAGATTTGACACGCTTAAAATATTGACAACTTGGATGCAAAAGTTCTAAATTAAATTAACAAAATGAATAATAGCACAAACAAATCTGTTGAAATTTAATTTTGTCAAGTGTTTTTATTTTAATTCAAATTTAAAATTTTACATTCATTAAACTAACTACAAGATTTCACAAACTTTCATTTTCTTCCAAAAATGTGATAAAAATTAGTTATATTTACAAAACATAGTACACAATTTCAAAAAAACAATATTTTTTTCGACTTTTCCCGAGGTTTCCTCCAGAAAATATTACAAAAATGGCATTAAGTGGAGGCATAATTGACAACTTGACTAAGTAACTCAGGGGAAAAGAAAATGTCTCCTAACAGCAATTAAAAAATTTAAATTATTAGAAACTGTCCAAATAACTGTAAAGAAACGTGTCATTTAGAGGTAAAAAGAAAAACAATACTTAAAAAGTTTTGATGTTATAATTACTTTTAAACTTTTGGTCATTTTTTGTTGCACATAGATCAAAACACATGAAGCTAACAGAATTTATTAATTAGATGAGATTATTAAACAAATCAATGTATTTGCATCAAAAATAATCATGTGGAAACTTTATCAACAATTTTCAAAAAAGTAATATAGTACAGTGAAAGCTCTCGAGAATGACCACTCTCCGTTCCACAATAAAGTAGTCATTAATGGATGTTGGTATAGAAGTAAATAAGAAATAAATAAAAAGCAAATAACAAGCATTAAAAAATTTAATATGATTTCAGTTATTTATTGCCGACTAAAAAATCATTTCTGGGTGTCAGACTAGTTACAGCTACACACAATTTTCAATATTTCAATATTTTACTTTAACATAAAATGTTGTTTAACACAAATAAGCACTATCTTCAGATTTTAATATGAATAGATAGCATTGATCTATACTTTTGTAACTATCTGTAAACTAAGTACTTTTGTGGTAATAAGATTCAGAGTTCATCCGAGGCGGGATTTGCAGATCAGGCTGCATGGCTTCCCCTTTGACCTATGAAGCTGATTATGCGGCCCGCCATATCAAAGGGAGGGATATGGTCAGGCCGATTTTTGGTAAATTAAGGTGGTTTTTTATCCTTTCTTTTGGGTAGTAATAATGTTTTGGCAATTATAAATCGTTTTTTCAACCGTTTCCCTGTGATCTTTCAAATTCTGATATCTTTAGCATATTATTACGACATGCACATTTCACACTTAATCTATCACTTCCTTGAATTGTTCGACTCGTAACAATTCCATCGCAATTTCACATTGTTTGATTATTATTTTTTCAGCCTTTGTTTTAACACACATTGTTTTAACACATGTTATTTTGATGAGCAAATTTCGAAGTTGCGTTATCACTTCTTAACGAGTGTGACTCATGACAATTCTATCACAGTCTTTGCTGATTGCTTTTTCAGAAGTTATTAATCACTTTCACGGCCCTTTTTTGTAGTTTTCTAAATATCTATATTTCTAATAGAATGTTTGGTATTCAAATTTCAGTTATCACTATTTGATGCGTTCGATTCGTGACAATTCTACTAGTCTGTGTTTTATGACAGATTTTTCGGAAGTTATTTATCACTTTATCAGGTATCCATAATTAAATCCATATAGCTTCCACTTGCTTTTTATAATAATTAATCGAATAATTTTTATACAATGTTATTACAACAAGCGAGTTTTTACATTTACAGAGTTACTATTTGACATCCTCAATTTAGATTGATTTTTTTTTTTAAATCCTGATATTTTTAATAAGTTATTATTATGGCATCCAAAATTTCAAGAATTACACTCATTTTAAAATTTATTTATAGAATGAGTGAATTTAACTAAGGAATTATTTTTTATTTAAACTAATTCTCTTAAAAAAGATTTTTTAACGATAAAATTAAATATTTTGAACGTCTTAAAAGTCATGCAAATATTTGTGATAGGTGCCCTTTTCAGTTTCTGGCACCCTGCCCTTTTTAAGGTCCAGAATGAACACTACACATACATCCTCTTTTAGACAATAATATTGATCAAAAGCCAAAGCAAATTCATTTAAGTGCTCCAAGAAGTATACTACAAAATTTCATATAAATGTAATTATTTATAAAATCGTAAGAAGAAAAAAAATTTCCAGGTTTTACACTTCTACACATTTGCACCATAACTTTAACTTGAAAGCATCGATCTGCTTGCATAAGTTGAAAACTATATTATTCTGGCCGAAGTTCATTCATAAGTGAAAATATGTCTGACAAGTTAGAAAGCTTGGTAATTCATTCCTTTTTACAAAAAGATCTACCTAATATAGATCCTTTCTGTGGGCCCATAAATAAGAATTTTCGGATCGGTGGTTGAGAAACAATGCGTTGAAAATATGACTGATAAAAATCTACGCTCTATATTTATCATAGATTAATTCACAGGATGGCGTCAGAAAAAATCGATGTTGGTTGCTCATCGGGAGTTGTAATGAACCACGCTCGTAAGACAATGTTTTTCTCACAGGAGAAACCAGTTACTACTCAACTCTTCACCTGCTTGTAGGATAAATTATACAAGATGCTCAGTAGCTGGTAAATGATTATAACTAGTAAGATACTTTGGAGGTAGAGTCTGGGTTATGCCACGGGACTAGATGTGTAGAATGTACCTTCCTTTTCATTTAATCATTTGTAAACATGCCTACATGTCAGGATCCTCCTCAAATAAATTTATATTTCTGGGGCTGCATGTTTTTTTTTCTCTTGAGTGTTCTCCCACTAAGCTAAAATCTACGCTGTTTTCTTAAATCGCATATTTTTTAATTATTTTACAAAATTTATAAAAAAATTGGTGAGTTTAAATTCCATTCAACACTTTGGCAGTTGCAGTTGGCAAACAGATCATGATACGTAAATACTCCCAACAAATCTAATTTTTCTTCATGCTTTACACTTGAAAAAAGAATGTTTTCTTATATAACTTTACTCATACTCACAAAGAAGCGAATTCGGAATATTTCTTTTTCTGTGCACCAATTTGCCACATAATAATGTAAGTTAAAAATATTCACATTAATAGCAAAAATATTTAATGAATAAGCTGAGCTCTACATGCAAGTTAATGTACAAATTTTAACACATAAAAAAAGTTATAAATGTTAAGTTATATTTGATAAGCTTAGTGGAAGAACCGGTTAAGCAAAACTTTAGTAAATTTGAGTAACTAGAGCAGCACAATGGGCTATTGGCAATAGCCTGGGAAACATCCCTGAGGATGATTCGAAGACATGCCATATAACAATTTTGATCCTCTGCAGAGGGGATGGCCCCCCTGCTTTGGTAGCTTCCGTGAACTGGGGAAAATGTGCACGAAGTCGAGCGCTAGGTTAACGAGTAACAATATCGCACATCCTCGGTCCATACACAGGCTAATCAAAGTGGTCACCCACCCGCTTGCTGACTGCAACCAGTGATGCTGGGAACCGTGTCTTGACAATCAGTCCAATACCAGACAAACCAGAAATAAAAAACTGTAGGATGAAGCTGTTTAAGGGGTTTTTTTTATGTCTTTTTCAATTACAGGAGTAATTGTCAGCCCAACTCAAAAATCCTGAAAATTTCGTGAGTAAAAAATATATGTCTTTATAAATTTGAATCACTGATATTTTCAAAACATGAAATTCTAAATCAATTAAATGCAGCATAATTTTAACGAATAATTATTTATAAGTTTACTTTTATCTCTAATAACATTTATTATGGAAACTTCCGTATCACGGTTTGCGAAAAATCCAAAAATCTGGATTTTTTGCGGAGCACAATCATCTCTGCAATTATTAATTCCTAAATAAACATGAATTCCTCCCGAATAAATGGAATCTGCTGCTTCAAGTTTTTCCTTTTAACCAATTTCTTTTCCCCTGTGCTTTAGCATTCGGTGCCTAACCAGAGATTTTCTAGGGTTTATTGACTATTTGTCGCCAAGATACCAAGCCAGCTCCTTCATCAGTTGAATACTCAAAAAATTTCGAATAGAAAGGTTCTTCCTCTAAAGTATCTTCGGAATGAATAGATTTAGCATTATAAATGAACGTTATACATTTAAATAAAGCTCAAATAAGAACTTTCCCTGAAAAATTTCTCTTTTTTTTAAAAAATGTCACTTAGCCGCAGTTCTTCCACTAAGCTGTTCATTTCTGAGGAAAAAAAGAAAAGGCATTTCTCACTTTTAGTAGATTCAAAGAACATGCAAGCACCACTTTGTAAATTTAGATGTCCACTAAATTCAACTGAAAGAAGAAAAAAAGGACATTTTAGATAAAGTAAAGTACTTATAGCAGGTTTGCAACAGCTACCCTTAATATTACATATTTTTAAAATGCTTGGCAAATATGAAGTTAAGAAAAATTTACACATTATAGGTTGCAAATTAATATTTAAGTCAGGTAAAAACTAAAATTCTCTGGCAATTAATGCTTAGCAATTAACTTGTTTAACACCTGAAGGAAACAAAGAGGAATTTATCAGAGCTTATTTAATAAAAAAAAACATCCAAGTTTTTTTTCTCCAGCAATTAAACAGATTTAATACTTTTGTGCTCCACTTTTGTCTAAGATAATTTGTAACATTAAAGAAGGTTTTTTATTTTTTCTTCTATTAAATAATAATTTGTGGCCATTAATAGGTACGCTTTTATAAACAAGGTTTCTAAATGTACACAGTGGGACACCCTAAATTTTTTTAAAAACTTATTTAAAAAATATAATTACATAAATATAATTATATGGTTTTAAAAAATATAATTATATGGTTTTTGGTATAATGTATGTTTAAGTTATAATTGTAAAGCTAGATTTGGAGAAAAATGATGAGTTTCTTACACAATATGATAATTACATAATTATCTATTAATTCACAAAAACATTCAAAGATTATATTGAATTAGGTCTCTTATTCATATAGGTTGAAAGCAGCAGTTAAGCAAATGACCACTGATTGCTCAGCTAAAAATAAAGCAAGATCATTTAGTGATAGCTTATCCGTATTTGTTAAATTGCTTATGTGTAATTAGGGGGGGGGGTTTACCAGGTAACCATGGGAATAACCTGGCAAATACTTTTAACTCATGATTATTTATTTACAAATATATAAGAGTTTGTTATTTATAACTGATAGTAATATATATTATTTTCATATTATAGGTAATAAGTATTATTAGATGATATATGTTTTATCAGCAAGTAACAAGCTATTGGACAATTGATATGATGTAAGGCAGTGGTCCCCAACACCCGGGACATGGACCAGTCCATAAATCAAATGGTACCGGGCTGCCCAGGGAGCATTAAATTATTTTCATTTTATTTACTGTGGTGTATTTCTCTCAGGTTTGTGAGACTTTCTATGAACCACAATCCTAATACCACAAATCCCTAATACCACAAATGTTATTGTATTTTGTTTAGAAGAGATGTTTAAATACAATTACATTAAAATAATTAAATCAAAACCATTAATTATTAAATCAACATCTGCCTCTCAATCATTAGGTCGCAGAAAAATTATCAAACATTGACCGTTCCGCATTTGTAAAATGGATGGGGAGGTAAGGTATCTCCTAAATTCTAACTCTTTTCACATAACCAAGTGAAACAAATCTTCTCACTTTTAAAAACTGACCAACTTGTAAGATTTTCAATATGAGCCAATAATGATTAATTAAAATCATAATTATAAATTACAATATTAAATATTATAACTTTATTACAGCTGCATTTATACCCAGAAAATAACCAAAAAGCTGAAATAAACAGGAATTTTGGAATTTTATAAAAAAAAAAAAAAAAAAAAGAAAAGNAAAAAAAAAAAGAATCAAATGATAAAAACTTTTCTTTTTTTAAAAAGAATCGTTGGAACATTTAAAAATCTACAGTAGTAAAACAAGGAATTAGCTTATCAATCTTTTGTCATTTATTTTTATAAAATTAGATTGTGGAAAAAATTATTTTACTTATTTCACTTTGCATGTGCAATTTAAAAATCAAAATTTTCCAAAATTATCATATGTACATATGAGTTAAAAGAGAGAAAAAAAAAATTATGTATGAAGATTTCAAAAATCAGGGCCACAACAAAAAGGTATATGTATTCATTAGAAATTGAGATAAAAAAATTTTACTATGAAGTCATAAGACCAGACCACTGACAACATATTAATACATAAATGTTTCACTTTGTACAAAAGTTAGGTAAATTTATAAATCAATATATGATAAACATAATGCGAAAAACAGACCTCGTAATGGTTCAAATAGAAAATCAGAAGAAAATAATACCAAAAAAAAAAAAGACTAGATAAAATCAAGACAACAACTTTAGCGCAGAATATTCTTTTAAGAGAAAAATAGAGCAAGAAGAAAAAAAACAACTACGAAGTTATAATTTACAAAACTAAACACCTATCTGAAAAGTTATAATTTATAGTCTGCTATAAAGAAGCATTTTTTTTTCAACATTATCGTAACTGATAAACTAAAATTTTAGTTCAAAAATTTAATAAACTTATCATTTCAGGATGTCCTTATTCTATAAAAATATCTATGATAGTTCCTATAATAATTCTAATATTTAGAGAACTAATAAACTTAAATTATTTTGTAGTCACCAAACTTAAAATAATTTTTATAGAACTCAAAATGATTTTTATAATAAGAATTAATCCTTTAAATAGTTTAACTTGATATAATTTTAACATCTCATATTTAGGAATAAAAAATAAATAAAAATATATTTAGCTTTCTATTATTTTAGATCATAATATATTCATCAAGCATAAACACAATTTATTAATAAGTTTTAAGAGCAAAACTGATTGCCACATATACAATACAAGATTGAATTATGAAGAAAAAAAACAAGTCATAATATGCAAATACACATATTTAATGCTAAATGTTATTGTTTTTCATTAGTACTATACCCTATTCCACACTACATTTCAACTAGTATTAAATATCAATCACGCTAATTAACAACAAAAAGTTTTTGCAAGATGCGAGGAAGCTGAAGTACAATTACTTCACTGATAAAACTGAATGTTAAAGAACGTATGAATGTTTATGATGGAACATAGGTGGCATGATAGAGAGTGATCATCAAAAATTATGATGCATTATTTTGAAGAATGCAGCAGAAGTTCCAAAGTATTTTTCTTTTAGGAATTAGGACAACTTAGTTGGTGACTGCCAATAAGTTTGCAACATAAACATTTCAGCTTAAGATTGCAAGGGAAAACAAAGTGAAATTAAGTTTGTTTTTCACTTTTCTATATTGACACCAAAAATTAAAAATCTCGATGTATATCTCGATTTCGAGTATACATTGTTCACTTTAACATAACAAATACACATTGCTCACATTGTATATATTGCTCACTTAAGCATACAAAAAAAGAAATTGTTGCAAAAGCAGAAGGCTAGTAGTATTTAACCTGTTACAAGCATACCTTTTTGTAGATTTAATACTAGGTATTGTTCATAATAAATAATAATGTAATTTTTAAGATATGAGAACAAGGACAATTCTTTAGGGAGAGAAAATTTTAAAATCTAGAAAAAGCACTGAAAGACTTTCTAAAAATTGTGCATAATATTAAAGAATTTCATTTGAAAAAAAAATTATGCATTTTTAACATTTAATATATTTTACTAGTACTTGCACTTCATTGATAAAAAAAAAAATTGTGTTAATGTCAATCATTCTTTCAGCTTTATAATTATTTTCAATGTATGCCATGTTTTTTCCCAAGATAAGCTCAGTACATCTGAATTATAAGTAGGTTTGTGTCTTCACAATATAGCGACCAACATTTTAAGAACCATTTTTGTTTGGAAAACAGAAGTCATTATATTCAGATTCAACTGTAAAAATATATATGATATTTAGTATTTTTGGATTCTAAGTGACAACCATTCTAGAGAAAAAATTATCCTACTTACAAAGAAAAATTATAAATAATAATCTTAAAACAGGATTTAAATAAATCAAAAATAAGTTAAAAAGAATTATATAAGAATTATTAACATTTATTTGAGACAAAAATATTAAATTAAAAAGAATAAGTCTAAAATAAAATAATTACCTTGATTTCATCACCATCAACATTAAAAACGTTCTTGAAACTTCTAACAATGTTTTACAAATAGGAAGAAATTGAACACTGAAAAAGAACTAATTTTTAAAAAAAATTATGACTCAAAAATAAATCTTTTTTTAGCAAAACTGAACTTTTTAAGTCGCACTTTTTCAAAGTATACAATATTCGTAAACAGGAAACTGCTTACAATATATCTAAACAAGAAACTGCTTATAAATAACAAATAATATTGAATATCTGCAATAATTAACAAACAAAATTTATATATACATTACTGCTGGTATATAAACTTTAAAATCACATTTACAAATTAAAACCAGAACTTTGATTGGGCTAAATACAAACTTAATTTCAATCCATTAATACAGAGCAAAATTTGTTGATATTGAAATAGATAAATACATTTATTACTATAGAGATTACTAAATACACTTTAGTCAAAAATCTTAAAATACCGTATCATGCAACAAAACAATTTTGTCAAATATAAACTTGATTTCAAAATACGTCAAAAATAAACTTCATTAGTTTTATTCGGAGTGTAAACTTACTGACTTTAATTACAGTTACAGTTATTTTGTGATAAACTTGTCGTGATATTAATATTAATTGATCGTATAGTGCTGCTATCTTGTGACTAAAATAATAGAAATATGAAACTAATTTTTGTTTTTCAAATATAAAATCCTATATAGTATTAATCACTTCTAAAAATAATATCACTTAACATAATATCATTTAAAAATAACGAAATGCGCTTAATGAACCAGTTTTAATTTAATAAAAGAACGTATGAAAAAAAAAATGTTTGACCATTGGCGATAATGTTTGAAATCGAGCGAAATTGTTCCTCAATGCTAAATCAATGTGTAGCTGTCACTTAAAAAGTTTTATTATAGATAGTTATATCGGCAGAAGAGCTCTTATAATTTTTTAACTCTCTCCAAATAATAAATATTTTGTTATAGTTAGTATTTGAATAGATATTTTTAATGACACATTCCAAAGAACTATTAAGAATTTAAAGAGCAGTAATTTAAACATTGGTAAATGGCTTACTAATTTTGGCTACAGTGCTGCTATCTGATATCGAAAAATATAACAAAAGTATTAATCACTTTAATATTTATTTTTACGAAGAGATAAAGTACAAATATTTGTATGTTTTCGTTCTTACATAACAGAAAAAACTAAAACAATGTTAATTATTATATAAAGCGCAATGCTAAAAAAATCTAT